CCGGCACAACCTCTAAGCAGAGCAATTCTGCTCTAGTGGTCAAAGTTACAAGGGAAATTACAAGGGCGCACATGTCCTGACCTAGCAGAACCACTGACAGAAATGTGTCTCTCAGAAGAGAACCACACTGTCCAATGAGACCTCAGGACAAGGTTAGCTGATGAACATTAACTGGGCTATATCCATCATAGGGTTAAGTTCAGTCAATTAGAGTTCACTGACTACAGCAAAGTGAAGCCATATACAATTTGTATGAGAAAAAGACAGAGATATGTCTTACACACCATATGTAAGAAGTATCTCAGGAAGAAATTGCAAGGAACAGGTAATGCATTGCCTTCAGGGAGGGAATACTGAATGCGTGGAAAACTAGTGAGAGAAAGACTAGTCAACATTTTGTACCTTCTGCATGAAACCACGTGATACAATTTCAATATCCATTGTTATTTCTACACCTCATCAATTTTGTCTTTGCTGCACAAAACACCATCTTTAAATTCTATGAAAATAACCCATCATTACAAAATAGAAAGTACTTACTAGTAGGTGATGACTAACATATAAATTAACTCACCAAATATTTCATGGCTATAAGTGCATGAAAACAAACTTCACACAAATTTCCTAGGGGAAAAAAGTCTTTTTCACCAGAAAACAAATATTCCATGATTGTTTTGTGTTTGTACAATAACATATGTGGCTCAACGTGGCTTAAAATCATCAGAATTTATTTTAGTAGGCATTATTCTTTAAAGTTGGGTCATTAGGTATGATTTGTGTGATACAATTTTAATTCTAAATATAAATTAAAAACTTTAAATGAAAAGAAGTGAATGGTTTACTATTCAAATTTTTTAAAATAAAAAATGTTTATACCTTTTAAACAAGTGTATAGAATCTTCTAGAAAAAGCGCACAACAAAAAGCTCTCTCAAGTGAACACCTTTTTTACCTCACCAATAACTTTGTAAGTGTCTGCTTCTCCTACTACCCAGACAACAAATGCAGGAAAAGTACTAACATCAGGGTAAACAAGTTATTGCAAAAAAGTAAGCATGATGATAATAGCTACTACACGGTACAGTTTATGAAAGTCATAAATTGGTTAAAATAACATACAGACCAAATGCTGATGTCACTTGATATAGTTATGACATACCTACATTGGAAAAGGTAGAAATTTATGTGAGAGAGTAGGGGAGAGAAAAAACACTAAATCTTAAGTTGTTAGTTTTCATAGGGGTATGTCAACAGGTAAGGACTGAAATAGAAAAATCATGATTGAGCAATAGCAGACGTCATTGAAAGAATCTACCAAGAGTTGAAAGTGGTTGCCTAAGGAGAACCAGAAGTCAAAGGCAAGCATAGTAAAAAATACTTCCCATTTAGAATCCATGTATACACACAACATAAAAATTAAAATAATCACAATTGTTTTAAAGTTAAACTGATTAACCAAATTAGTATATGCACATTTACTGGAAATTATGGGGATAAATATCAGGAAAAAATTAAATAACTAAAAGAATTGAGAGTTTTCTCTTCAGGGCAACCATTTGGGATGGGCCTGGGACAGTAGTTTTTTTTAACTTACTTTTAAAGCTCCTATGTACATGCAAGACTTTGATAAAGATAACTATTAATAAGAAAATTAAGTTTTTAAAAAGAGAGAAAATAACAAGCACTGGTGAAGATGTAGAAAAACTGGAACCCTCATACATTGCTGACAGTATGACCACCCTGGAAAATTGTTTGGCAGTTTCTTAAAAAGGAACGCATAGATTTTGCCATATGTCCTAGCAATTTCACTCCTAGGCATTACTCAAAATAAATGACAAATATGTCCACACAAAAACATGTACACAAATGCTTATAATAGCATTATTCAAAATAGTGCCAAACTGGTAACAACCCAAAATCCATCAATGGATAAATGGGATATTATTTATTCTGCAATATAAGTCAATGAAGTATTGATGCCTGCTAGCCACCACATGGAGGAACCCGGAAAACATTAGGTTAAGTGACAGAAGCCAGACACAAAAGACTACATACTACATTCCATTTACATGCATATGAGTCCAGAAAGGGGAAATTTATAGAGACAGAAAGTGGATGTACTATAGCCAGGAGCTAATGAAATTTTTATTGGGGTTATGGAAATGTTCTAAAATTAGAACAGGGTGATGGTTGCATAACTATGTAAATATGTTAAAGATCATTGAATTGGGCCTCCCGGGTGGCACAGCGGTTGAGCGCTGAGTTGCGAAGCTGCCCACAGCCTCTGCAGCGCCGGTTCGATCCCCAGCCACCGGGTGAGGGTCCCACATGGCGTGCAGACCTCTCCTGCCGCCCTCAGCAGTGTACTTCGTCAGTCTGCCTGTTCTGCTCTTCGCTCTGGCTCTGGTGAATTCTCTCACCCTCCTGCACTTCTGACTGTACCCAGTGCTTGTATAAATAAATTAATTAATTTTAAAAAATCATTGAATTGTACACTCAAAATGTGTGAATGTTATGGCAAGTCAATGAAACTGCTTGAAAAAAGGCAGATGATTAAGTCTATTAAAAAAGAAAACTCCAGATTATGAGGTAAGTGCTTTAAATAAGTTATTATTATGACAATCCTGAAAGGTTGGCATTATTACCCCACTTTTCAAGAGAAGAAAACTAAGGCTCCAAGCAACAGTAACTCCAGAGTTCATGCACTTTCTGCATTTGTGGCTGCTCGGGTCTGGTCAAAACCTGACATAAGGATTCTTCCACCCTCAATTCAGCACAATGAGTACTGCTAGGTCAAAGGATGGTGACCTCTGAGTAGCCCAAGATTTTCTATTTTTTATAGAGGCCAACATTGTGTTATTGTGATTTATAAAGAGAAATATTTATTTGGTCTTACCCCCCATTTCTGGCTCACAGTTCTAAAAGCCTTGGAATTTCCTAAGAGATAAGATTAACTGAAGTATATTTTGTTATACTATTTGGTCTTTTGCCATCAGTTCTGAAATAGCTCCCAAGCCAGAAGGTAAAAGGAATGTGTTATCCATAACAAGCCCATATCAACTGCACCTGAGTTTATGTTAATGAGGTGACTTTGGGAAAGCCCCTTAGGAAGGGCTGGTTGGCAGGAAACCAACTCTGATTAGAAGGATGGCACTTTCCGTCCTATCCCTTTGCCAACCTCCGGGATGGTAAGGTTGGATCAGTTGCCAGTGACCAGTGATTTAATCAATCATGTCTATGTAGCAAAACCTCCATTAAAAACCCAAGAGCTTCTGTCAAAGGAACAGTGAGGAGCAAACGCCAAGTCAATGAATGATGTCCTGAATAGACTCCCCAGCCATCTCCAGATCTCAGATGCCAGAGAACCAACTCCCAGCATGCCATGAACCTGAGGTCCTGAACTTCCAGGGAACTCGGGGCGGAGATAAGCAGCCATGCTGGGCTTCAAACTTAACACATGCATGCTGTCACTCATGCTTTTCCAGGTTTGCCTTGCAACCTGATGCCTCAGTTCAAATGATATTGCTGCTAGGATGTATCTGCAAATTAGTCTTCTAGCTGTTCTCCCTCTTCTCACCCTCCTTGTAAATAAACCCTTTTCAATTTCTCTCTGCATGTCTGCTTCTGGGTCTCATCCTGAGTTCCTAAGTGCACCTGTGAGGACTCACAACCCAGGTGACCCCCATTTCCCCCAGGGTTGCTCTGTAACACTTCCAGGTTGGTGAACACATGGAGATTCTGCGAGAGTACCATACTCAGAGAGGGTCTGGGAGTTCAGTGCCCCTTTCTCATGCCTTACCCTATATATCTCCCTCCATCTGGTGGTTCCTGAGTTATATCCTTTTATAATAAATGGGCAATCTGGTAAATAAAATGTTTCCCTAATTTCTATGAGCCACTCCAACAAATTGGCAACCTCCAATTTACAGCACACCAGTCACAAGCATACGTGACAACCTGGACTTGTGATTGGCATCTGAAGTAGGGGACAATCTTGTGGGACTGAACACGTAACCTGTGAGATCTAATGCTATCTCCAGGTAGAGTCAAAACTGAATTGGTGGTTTTGAAAAAAGCACACATCAGAAGCATGAAATATAGACTACATATGAGTAACTGATAATGCGAGTGGGCCAATCTTTGCACAGGAGGACAGGCATTAACAGATGTTACTATTTGAAAACTAAATGTTGTCCCTTTTCAGGGCGCTATCTGGGGTACCTGGATGATGGGCTTTGGAGTCAGACTCACTGGGGACAGTTGCAATTCTGCCACTTAGCAGCTGAGGGTCCCTTGGCACGTTACTTAATTCTCTCTGTGCCTCAGTTTCCTTGTCTCTAAAGTGGGGATGAAAACAGAAGCTCTTCTAGGTGACTGTAAAGCACAGGGAGCAATACCGAGCGCTCCACAAGTGTTTGCTATCAGTATTCATTTTTCAGTGTATTTAAACGTGTCCCCTAATGTCGCAGAGCCTGCCTTTTCTCAGCTTTACCGTAAAACACCCTTCAGCTAGTATGTTCTCCTGATCTGTGGTGACAGGTAAGCAGTGTCCTCCAATGATCACCACCCACTGTCACTGGCCCAGACGGTCATCTGGCTCAAGCACCTCACTGTACAGAAGGGATAAAGACACTCTAGCATAAGCTGGCCCACCTCCCAGAAGGCCTAACACGATTATAACGCAAGCACTCTATTAGAGAAGCTTTTGTGCCCCAGCTTCTCAGAGGATCTCTTGTTCATTTGGCTAAAGAAGTAGGTGAGAAAAAGTCACACTGTGATTTTAAAGACTGTCAAATGCTAATCACAAGTTACTCCATTTGAAAGATAGAAATGAAAGCATTTTTAATCCTCCTTCCTTCTTCCCAAACCTCCATCCACTGGGAGAAAAAAGCCAGTTCTTTGAAAGCCAAGAACCAAACACAACAGTTTCGCGGACAATGGTTGAGAGGTAGGCTTTTTCCCAGGGAATGGCTAAAGCACTTTTTTCTTTCTTCTTGTTACCTTGGTAACCGCTACCTTGGCGCCCTTGTTGATGAGCTGAACCACATTCTCTGCTTGGCCTTTGTACGCAGCTATGAGAAGGCGTTCTGAAAGTGCAGCGACCGCATCCTGCTGGCTCATGAATTAGGAGAGAAAGAGATTCTTGGGAAAGCAGTAGACAAGTTCCTTCAGCCACGACGCCACTGGCCTGGGCCGGCACCCGCGGGTGAAGATGCTCCCAATCATCGGAAGGTGCCTGTGTCACCATGCCATCTTCGGGACCTAGGGTCACAAAACAAAGCTGTTATCAGCGTCACTCTGCACACAGGCCAGGCCACAGCTCTCCTCTCTGATTTTAGGGTTTTCGGCTGATTGTTCATTGCAGGGGAGGAAAGCTGGGGCAGAGAGGCCTGGGGGGAGGCACATTCTGCACAGTAACACCCCTGAACTTGCAAGTGGGAGACAGCGGAATGTGCCCACCTCCCTCCTTCCTTCCCCCTCAGGGACATTCTCCAGAGGAGTATGATCAAGACTATGTCTCTGTCCCTGCCAAATACAATCCCTTGGACATCCTCTAGTTGTCAGACCTGCCTTCAGCAGGTAACTGTAGCATGTGTGATCATTAAAGGTCCTTCTGGGTTATATTTTAATGGCTCAAAGTGGCTAAAAAGCCGATTCTCCTAGCAGTAGACCACATCCCACAGGGCCCAGATGAGTGGCCCCCACAGTTCTCTCCCTCATCCTTTTCTGACATAAACAGTACACTCCCTTATCCTTTTCTGAGGTGCTGGTGGTGGCCATGGTATGAAAACATACATTCGTAGAGGCTTGAACTTATAACCCCTAAAACAAATGCAAAGTTGTAAATCAACATTACCTCAATAAACATTAAAAAAAAAATAGTGCCATTTCCTGAGTTATAGAATAGAAGGAGCATTGGGTGCAGGCCCAGGTCATCTCCAGGTTCCAATTACTGCTGGAAAAACCCATCTTGGAACAACACAGAGCTAGAAACACTGACAAGCATACACACTGCCTGTTGTGCCAGTACGGCTAGTGGTGTGGCTTCCCTGCTTAACAAGAGGAAAATAAATGGCACTAAGCCACACCTCTGATCAGGGGTCTGAAGGGTAGTACCTAGTGGTAACTTGAGCTCTTTTTTCCAGCAAATGAACACAATTTTAGACTGGTTCCTCCCAGTAGTGCTGGGCCACCTTTAAAACAAACCAAAGCCATTGGCAATTATTTCAAAGGAAAGGTTCCTTTGGACAGAAAAAGGATCTGATTCACTCCTGGCCTGTACTACAAAGTAGTAAGGGCTTCTCTGTGTTTTAAAACATACTTAACAAAACGTGCAACACGCACGAATGGAAAGAAAGCATTGTGCTAAAGAGACACCATTCTTCATCCCAGACCTTACAACACATTCTGGTTTTAAAGGTCTAGAAGATACAGACATCTTGGGCCTCCCCGGTGGCGCAGCGGTTGAGCGCTGGGTTGCGAAACTGCGCACGGCCTCTGCGGCGCCAGTTCGATCCCCGGCTGCTCCCCGGCCACCGGAGGAGGGTCCCACATGGCGTGCAGACCTCTCCTGCCGCCCGCTGCTCCCCTCAGCAGTGTACTTCGGTCCTTCTGCCTGTTCTGCTCCCCGCTCTGGCTCTGGTGAATTCTCTCACCCTCCCGCGCTTCTGACTGTACCCAGTGCATGTATAAACAAAACAAACAAACAAACCAGCAAACAAATAAAGCATGCCTCTAAAAAAAAAAAAAAAAAAGATACAGACATCTTTTATAGTGGTTTCCAGACAAACCCAACGCTCCTTTCAATTTCTACAGAATGAGGAACAGGCCATGAAAGGCCTGGGAAAGGTCTGCATTGTACTCCACTCTTGCTCTCATTCACCATGGCATTTCAGCCACCCACTTGGGGAGGCTGGGCTTAAAGCTCAGCTATAACACAGACGTAACAACAGGCCCATGCTGGGGAGTAAAGATGCTAAACTAACTTATATGAAAGTACTGAAAAGATAATTCTTATCCTCCCCAACATGAGCATCTTCAAATGTTCTCATTGTCCATCTGTCACCAAAAATGCAGGTACGGAATAGCAAGAAGAGAGAGAAAAGAAACCTCACGAATGCACACTGGTCTGCTCATCAGGCTCCCTAGAAACACAACAAAGCTGGAGCAGGGCATGCTCCAAAGCAGAGGCTTCCTGTGCCAGCCACAGTCAGAAAAACCTGTTGAATGAATGAGTCAATGAAAGGATAAAGCTGAGACTCAAAACACAGAGAAAGGGAGCTGGAAATGACTTTGGAAATTCCAAGGGCAGCACCAACAGACTAGTTTGGGTTTTATGTTTACAGACTGTCCAGTGTTTGAAAGTAGTTTGCTTTTGTGAACACGAGCTACACTGTCCACCTTTCCTCAGGTATTATGAGGTCCCTTCAAATTAATTACATTGAGTTTCTACGCTCTTTGCCCCAAGACTGCAAAAGGACTCCAGGCTCGAATCGCAGGAAAATACGGAGGATTAGCCATAAATGATCTCCCTCTCACACCACGTTCCTCTTCATCTACTCCTTTATTATCTCTGTGCATGACCTAACCTCCTTGTCCCCATTCCCAAACCTTTCCTCCAATGGGCATTTGAATGTCTCAAGTACAGTGGCCCAGTTCACACAGATATATTTAAAATTTTATTCATTCACTCATGCTCAGCTTAGTTTCTGGGATAGAGAGGATCTTGCTGCAGCCTCAGTGTGGCCCGTCAAGCCAAGGTCACAAGCCCCAGGAGAGCAGTGCTTTCCAGCTGTCCAAGCCACAGATGCCCAGGTCAATGGGCCTGTGCTGCCCTTATAGGCACTGCGCCCCTCCCTCCTGTCCCATGCAATGAATCCAGCCTCTCAGACACTGAGCCGAAAGCCAAGCTAATATTTATTGCCAAGGCTGCAAGCTACTGAGGTAGTCTTGTTTACATAATTAACTTTGCAAGTCCAACTCACATTATTATTGCTTTTTTTTTTTTTTTTAAGATAAAAAGGCACTACAGTTTTAAGGAAATGTTGATCAAGCAGAAATGTCACTTGCTTCTTGGCTGTTCAGTGACAGCCACGTGAGAATGAAAAGCTCTCCATTCCCCACCCGCCCCCTCTACCTCCATTGTCCAGCTCTCCCAGGGGAACAAAACAGTCTCCAGCACAGGCTGCTCACAACACCGCCCCTACCAGAGAGGCACAGAAAACTGCTAGCAAGAGCAGGAACAAAATCCCAGGATTTTAGTTGGTTTTTAGTTCTAGTCTGCTGCTAGCACCACCCCTGTGTGCTTGGGTATTTCAAGTTCGCTTTCAATTTTAATCCATAAGAGGCTAATTGCTTGAACCTTCAGCATTCACTCGCAGCAGATTTATGCACAGAGTGGGTGGAAAGGGATCAACACTTCCTCTGCAGCTTCAGCTTTGGGGAGTGGTACGAGCCCAGCTTGGCTTTCTCTCTACTGCACCTCTCTTCTTCCTTCTCTCATGACCACTGTCACAAATCCTTGGATCCTTCTCTCCTGTCTAGAACAGCGATCACCATCCTTCTGGGGTGAGATGATGCTCTCATCTGAGGTCCCTAAACTGACAAACGAGATCAGGCAGAGGCAGGTAGCAGAAGAGGGATAAGGAGGAACAGAGGGTCCCCAACAATGATTGGGGAGAGGAGAGGAACAGTGGGTGGTGGTTAGTTTGATATCTACAAGTTAAACTTCACTGCCAACCTGTTGGGTACTCAGCTGGTAGCAACCCAGTTCCCTCATTAAATCTGAGCCTCTTCTTCCAAGTAGGTCAGCTATCATTCAAAAACACTTCCCATTTTTGGCAGTGAAGAATTTCTTCTGCCCCAAGCCTATCAACCACATCCTTCTTTGTCACTGGAGGAAATCCTTAAATGCAAACACACTGCCGACTCTTCAAGCAGAAATGAAATAAATGCATAGTCATAAATATGCAATGATCATCCTGAACCAAAAAGGGACTTAGCTTCCTAAGGAAGATTTCCTCTTTCCTCCCAGCCCACTGCCCCATTTTTATGGTTCTCCAATTTGCCAATTCTATTGCCTTTCATTGCAAATGTCAGAGGGCTGCACAGTTGCTAGATCTGTGATGCAATTGACTTCCTCTTTATAACCAAAGATCTAAGGGATTCGCTTTTGCTGTTTTCTTGGGGGTTTACAGCAAATTCTCCTGGTACAAATATTCCAAAACATTCAGTCTCCTCACAGGCAAAATATTCTAGAAGAGATGAACAAACAACATCCCGGCCAGACATTACGCACAAACCACCCACAGACAGCCCACAGGCTCCCGTGTTAGGGAGAACCTTTAGTTACATTAACTCGCTTTGCTCCTATTTCTCCAATCCCTGTGTTGAAGAGAAATCATACTCACATCTGGGGGTCTGTCCTCCCCGTTCTACCTCATGTTCTCTTTCTGGATAACTGCAGTCAATTTGTTTCTGGAGAGATCATTAGCTTCCTAGGGCCGTAAAGCCCTGTGGGTCTGCGGTGATTTACGTTACAATGCTTGCTGTCTTTTTCCCTTTAGCTTCCTCTGCCAGACCTGACTAAATCACCTCTATGATCTTATTGGGCTATCCATTCAGCTCACAATGTTTTGTGGCTTCCCAATCTGCTCATCACAGCTTCTGAAAGTCCTGGGTCTTCAGATTTTGTTGGATTGCTCCCTCCCGCCAGCACAGGACTTGTAACACTGCCCCGAGTGAAGAGTCCAGGAATAATTCACAGATGGGCAGAATGTTTTTGAATGATCCTCAGATGACAGTAATGCAAGGAGAAGAGATGAATGTGAGCGTTGTGAGGGAGGAAGGATACAGGAAGAGTCAAAGTCAGCAGGGCACTGCCCGTGTGATCGCAGTCAGGGGAATGCCAGCCTTATGGGAACAGCTGAGACACAGACACTGCACCCTCCTTGGCAGAGTTCCAGCACCGCGGCTGCAGCAGCACAGGAGACAAGGGCCAGCTGAGCAGCCTTTCTGGCTACCTTTGAATATCCATAGTTTGTCTCACAAATCCTCTCTAAGCAGTCTTTGCAGGGAACGGGAAGGGGCAAAATGAGGAAGCAAGGCTGCTTCAAGTGCTGCCAGTGCCCCCAAACTTGCAGGTGTGTGTGTGTGTGTGTGTGTGTGTGTGTGTGTGTGTGTGTGTTTGTCCAGACCACTTGTTGAAGCAACAGAAAACCAACTTCCCCACTGGGCTGATCACAGAAAGGAAGAAGGTTTTCATTTGATCCAATTTCTTTGCCTATTCCTGATTGGTTTTGAAGTCAGAATTGTTGGTCTCACACTGGGAAAACAACCTACTCCACTGAAGTAAACCCTCTGAGCATCCTCCCTGCTCTAAGCCTTGCCCCCATGTCCCTGAGTGGCAGCTCATATGGGCAATAGACTAGGATTCTGCTTTGGCCATGCTTCAGTTTACACCAAGAGCAGAACAGCCAGGAACTCAGGATGGTGCATTTTAGAGAGTGAATTCAGTAGCTTATTCTCAATACATGACACGTTACTTGTTAATCAAAAAGTGATCAATATTGGGATACTATGATCACCACCAGAGGAGATAGAGGCTCAGAACAGAGGTGAAGGCAACTCACTCCCTACTTTTTTTTTTTAAGATTTATTTATTTATATATTTATTTATTTATACAAGCACTGGGTACAGTCAGAAGCGCGGGAGGGTGAGAGAATTCACCAGAGCCAGAGTGGGGAGCAGAGCAGGCAGAAGGACCAAAGGACACTGCTGAGGGGAGCAGCGGGTGGCAGGAGAGGTCTGCGCGCCACGTGGGACCCTCCTCTGGTGGCCGGGGAGCAGCTGGGGATCGAACTGGCGCTGCAGAGGCTGCGGGCAGCTTCACAACCCAGCGCTCAACTGCTGTGCCACCAGGGAGGCCCTCACTTCCTACTTTTAAGAAACTCATCATTTGGACTCGGCACCCAAAAGGTCAGATGCCAGAAGAGAAAAGTAAACCCAGTGTCACAAAAGTATAATGTGAGGAGTGGTTAATTTTCTCAAAACTTCCGGGATATTTCCTTCTTCAAGAATAGGTACTCCACAGGTCAGGGCCCCTCCCCACAATACTGTCGGGGGGACAGTGCAGCACCGTCTGCTCAGAGCCTGGCACCCCACCAGTGTCACCTGCCAAAGACAGGTTATTGGGGGCAGAAACACACCTCAAGAGCAAGCCCATGAGTCATTCCACAGCACATCCCTGTAAAGGAGCAAGTCTGCTTATTTTTGGAGCAATCTCAAGTAAAGTAACTGTTCTCTTCTCATGCTGACAGTTACCGAATCTTTGAAATTACCACCTTTGCAGGAGGCACACAGACTTTTGCAGTGAGTGCAGAGTGACATCTGGATAATACTCAGAAAAGCCGTGGCATAGCCTACCCTCAAGAAAAGCTGTCAACAAATGTGAAAATACTATAAGAGGCATGAGGACATATAACTGAAAAAACCGTGACTGAAAGAGGCTTGTGATGCAGAGACCTCCCTTTTCAACAAGGGACAAACACTTGCTCTATCACTGAGGCCTTCAAGCTAGTGACCCTACACACACACTCAGAATTCAGACCAAGTGTCATCGTTGAGCCTGTCTCATATATCCTCATACAAGACGCTCATCTGTGCTCCTAAGAGTTCTTATAAGCCAGCCCTTCATGCCCTAAACTTATGTTGAAGCCCTAACAAATACAGTGTGATTATATTTGAAAATAGGGCCTATATGAAAATAGGAAGTAATTAAAGTAAAATGAGGTCCTAAGGGTGGGGTCCTGATCTGATAGAATTAATGTCCTTATAGGAAGATACACCAAAGAGTGTCCCCTCTCCTACTCCTCACTGCCCCACCCACCCACATGCTAAGAGGAAAGGCCATGTGAGGAAATAGCAAGTGAGCAGCCAACTCCAAGCCAGGAAGAGGGCTTGGAAACCAACCCCTGCCAAGTCTTGAGCTGGGGCTCCAGCCTCTAGAATTGGGAGAAAACAGGTTACTGCTGTGTAAGCCACCCAGTCTATGGAATCTTACTCTGGCAACCCAAGATAATTATTATATCTCCCCTCACAGTTCATGTTGGCATGGATTTAGGGTTGGTCTTCCAGGTTAGACTGAACTCCTCAAGGGCAGGAGCCCTGTTTTTCTTTTTTTTTTAATGAGGTAACACTGGTTTACATCATTGTTTATTAGAAGTATAGGGTCTTCCACCTCAGGTGTTGTTACCACACTGAAGCCACCACGAAGAACACCTATAGTCCACCACCATAGTCCACTGTGCTCTCTCCCCACCTTGCTCTCACCCCTCCCACTCTGGTAGACTCAGTTCCATAGTCGGTTTCTAGGCTTAGTTCTTAGTTTGGTTTTATCTGATCCTTTATTTGGTTTCTCTATATTCCACATGTGACACCATCCAGTATTTGTCTTTCTCTTTCTCACTTAGCATAAGTCCCTTCAGCTCCATCCTTGTTGCTGTAAATGGCAGACGAGTTTATCTTTTTTGACAACTGAGTAGTATTCCATTAGGCAGTGTGTATTGTATGTATATGTATATCTTCCTGATCCATTCATCTGTTTTGGGGCACTTAGGTTGTTTTCATAGTTTGGCTATTGTAAATAGTATTGCAAGTTTCTATCTGACTTAGTGTTTTTGTATTATTTAAGTAGAAACTTGGAGTGGAATTTTTCTGGGTCATATGGCAGATCCATTTCCAATCTTTTGAAAAACCTCCATACTGTTTTGCATTGAATCCTGTTTTTCTCCATTCAGCTCCACTTCTAAGGAGCCTGTGCTAGCCAGAGAAGTTCCTGAGGTCTTTGGTTATTTAATCAGAGAACCAGCAGGAGCAATGGGAGAAAAGGCCGACTTATTAAGACAGGCTAAGCCAATCTACAGAATAAAGAGCTAGAGAGAAGAAAATGCCACTCAGGATGGGGGATGGAACAAGGGTTTCCCAAGAGTGGTGGTAATAAACAACGGGCTTCTGAACATTGTGGAATTTGAGAGAATTAGCCAGACAAAAAGAGATATGAAAGCCATTATTGCAAGGTTATAAATTGGGTTTCCTTTAACTTTTTGAGAGCAACAAGTAAATGATTACTATTCTTTCTAAGATCATTTTCATTTTTGGATTATGCTTCTTTGAATATCTCCATACAAACACTAGACCATATGGGACTGAAATTCCTTAGGGTTGCACTTGTTTATAAGGTCTTTCCTCTCAGATTCCGAGCTTCTGTGTCTTACTCCTCTTTGTAAATCCAGTACAAACACAGGCCTGGCAAACAACATAGAAACCATAAATCAACATATCTCTGCTTATCCCACTATACTTGTCATAGACCCCCCTCAAAAAAATGCCTGCTGTAATGTTTTCATGTATCCAAATGAATTATCAATTGCTGTAGTGCACAATAGTGACCCCCTCCAAAAGATACACTGATGTCCCACTCCCAAGAACCTGTAAGTTTTAATTTCTATCACAAGAGATGTGATTATATTAAGGATCCTGAGAGAGGTTGACCCTCGATTATCTGGGTGGGCATCCTTATAAGACAAGCAGAGAGTTTTAAGACAGAAGAAGAGGCCAGTGATCACAGAGGGACAGACTGGAGTGATGTGGCCACAAGCCAAGGGACATCTAGAGCCACCAGAGGATGAAAGAGGTAAGGAATGTTGCTCTCTATTCAGCTCTTCTCCAGAAGACGCCTCCAAACTGAGCATGGTCCTGCTGACATCTTGATCTCAGACTTGTGACCTCCTTAACCTGAGAGAATATATTTCTATTGTTCTTAAGCCATCATGTTTGTAGGAATTTGTTACAGCAGCATTCAGGAAATGAACACAAATTCCTATACATAATAGATGCTCAGTAACTTGATCAGTTACTTGGCTGGGTTATTTATAATCCCTTGCTATCTTTTAAAAGTCACTGACATGCACCCACACCTCCATCATCAAGAGCCAGGATCCCACTGTTATTTCAACACTTGTAATTGCTGTTGTGACCAGTCCCGCACTACTTTCTGGGGGACAGTCACAGGTTCCAGGGATTGAGTGTCCTACTGTCTACATGCCTGCAAAATGTCCTTTACTCATTTCTTCAAGAAGGACATAGGACAGCAGGGAGCACTTGATAAGGATGTGATGCCAGCAGGAGAAATGGCCACACCATGAGGACGGAGAGCCACCCTCATCGGGGTCTTTCCAGTTGGAACAAGAAACACTTCAGAATTGAAAGGAGTTATTTCAGGCTGTCACTTTCCAATTCACCACCATCACACACACACACACACACAACACACACACATAAACTGGGTCTCTAGCCAGGAAGCAAATGTCTAAATATAACACTGCAAACACAATCCCAATGTAGCAAAGGGAAGTCTGGGATTTACAGTACTGTCTACTCAGAAGTAAACATCAACTGTGATTTGCCACTGTGATGTATTTTTCAACATTATTTCTTGCATAACATTTCTCAGAAGACAAAAGCCTTCTCTCAAGCCCATGACCCTTCAGAGAGACCACTCAAATTCCCCCAGCTACACACAGGTTGATTCTGCTTATCAATATCTGTTATGTGACCCTCAGAAATGGTTATTTTCAAGTGTATCGGACCCAGTCTTATGTCAGGGATCCAATTTTATTCACTCTACCAATTAAGTATTTCTTAACATAAGATCCATCTGATACCAGAAATTCTAGTTGCTATGCTAGCCACCCCTTCTTCCCACTCTCCCACTAACCTACTGACTTTGTCCAATAATTTGGGTTAAAAGCTGCAAG